GTTGTTCCATGTGGGCTTTGTTGCTTCTGAGCTAGATGGCCGCTTGTTTACCTTCAACCTTTTAAGACCCCAGATGCTATACTTTTGTTATTATGGAAGCAGATGGCCAGGTCTTTCTTGTTTGGCAGCACTTTCAGTGGGATGCAGTGTCAAACTACCAGCCTTTAGGTTTCTAGTAAGTACAAGCCATAGACCCAGGACACCTGTTGCTTGGTGTACAAGGGGGTTACACACACACACCAGAACAAAGCTCCACTGGGCAGAGCTTTCATATTACACATTTTTCCTGCTTGGTAAAGCATAGAACAACTCGCTCTGAGTTAGTTTACCCAGTTCCATCACCTGGGAAGGTTCCCTCTGGTCACAGTGAATTTTTTTGTCAAAGCTGTTTCGCTCAAACCTCGTTGTTCTTGTGTGTGTGAAGGCCAATTGAAGAGAACAGTGTGCAGCTGTGAACTTTTTGTTTCCTGCTTGGGGAAAGTGCCACAGAAACCGTTGTGATGTTGAACACAGCTTACAAGGACAGTGCTATGGGGAATAAAACCTCAAGTGTACGAGTGGATTTCTTGTTTCAAAAAAGGCAAAATGTCAATTGCTGACAAACCTCATTCTGGATGTCCATTAACTTCCCGAACTGACGAAATGTCAACAAAATGTATGCATTGTGCTCACAGACCAACGACGGACCATTGAAGAGATGGGGACGTTATCAGTTCAGCAAATTTTAATGGAAGCATTGGGAATGAGAAGGGTCACTGCAAAATGTGTGCCTTGGGTTCTGACTGACCAGCAAAAAGAGCTTTGACTGGAAACATGCCGTGCTGTGAAAGACAGCTCTGAAGTGCCCAGACGTTTTGTTCCCCCAAGTCATTCCTGGTGATGAGACATGCTGCTATTCTTATGACCCCAAAGCAAACATCAACCAAGCCATTGGAAGACGTCATTGTCACCTCACACACACACGCACAAAGGCCTGTCAAGTGAAATCAAAGATCAAGACGATGCTCATTTGCTTTATTGATGTGACGGGGATAGTGCATTTGGAGTTCATTCCACCAGGTCAGATTGTTAATCAAGCTTTCTATTTAGAGGTTCTGAAAAGATTGCATAACAGTGTCCCACAAAAAAGGGCCTGATTTGTGGTAGACGCAGAACTGGTTTTGCCACCATGACAATGCACCTTCTCACACAGCCGTCTCAGTGGCCATTTTTTGACAAAAAACAGCATGCCTCTCTTGCCCTATGCACCTTACTCACCTGACCTCACTCCATGTGACTTCTTTTTGTTTCCATGAATGAAGAGGGTCATGAAAGGACAGTGGTTTGATGACATAGAAGAGGTGAAGAAAAAAACGAGATGTTATCTGTCATCCAAACAGATGAGTTTGAAAACTGTTTCCAAGAATGGAATCGTAGATTTGACAAATGTATTAAGTGTAATGGAGAGTATTTTGAATACATAGCTTTGAAAACAGTAAAAATACGGTTTGGGGTGGGGGGGTACCACCTCATATACCTCTACCCTCACACTCTGCTTGATTCGGAGTCACTCTTTGTTTTGTTTCCTTTTGCTTACTTGTTATCGGGTGCCCATGCGGAGATTCCGACTCATAGCAACTCCGTGAGCCCCAGAGTGCTCTCCCCCAAGCCCCAGACTCACTGCCACGGAGACAATGACGACTCATAGTGACAACCCCTACAGTTTCGGGGACTGTAACTGGTCACAGGAAGTGCAAAGCTCCGACGTTTTCCCACGGAGTGGCTGATGGTTTCCAGTTGCCAACCTTGTGGATCGCAGCCCGAAGAGTAACCACTGCACCACCCGGGTCCCAGTGAGTTCTCCAGGTTGTCCTGTTGATGGAAGCACATTGCCAGGTCTTTATTCTGTGGCGCAGAACGGTTGGATGGGTTGAAAACACCAACTTTGGCTTCACTGTTGTTTTTAGTAGTTTTTTTAATCCATGTGAGCTGAGTGTCTAAATCGGCCCCTTCACGCTCATCCCCCCTTCCCTTGTCCATCTGTTTGCTTCAGAGACTCCCTGTGGTTCGGATCCGTAATTTCGTGGTTTACTTCCTCCTGGTCATTTTCTTCTTCGCTTGAAGCTGCAGTTCCCTCGATCATGTCCATCCGACGTTCCATGCTGTGCTTTGCCCTGTCTTGCGAAATCCACGCATCTCACCTGTACATAGTCTGAGAACTGAGGTAGTACAATTCCCCTGCATTTTTTTAAAAGTGTGACTTTCTAGTAAGAAGCATTAGTTGCTGAAGAGCTTACTAAACTTCCTTTATGCACACTGAAAATGTCTTTCCATAAGTCATAAAGTGGCCTGAAAATATCTGTGACAGGGAGCGGAGGGGTGGGGATGGATCTGCCTGCTTCCCAACGGCCCCAGCCTCTTTCAGAGTAGCTGATTAATTAAAGAGTTCTTGGGCACTTGACTATTTTTTTAAATTAGCAGCCGGCTCGGGATGGAATTCCTCCCTGTCTGAGACCAGCAAACCGGGTCTGAGGGGTGCACTCTCTGGGCGGATACTTTCCACTGATGAACAGGAAGCGGGGGAATCCGAGAAGCCTCTCTGGGCAGGACTAGCCTCCTATTTCCCTTAAGGTCGTCTTTGTTTCACAGTCCAGATGTGGCACGTTTACATGTATGGTACAAAAGTCGATGGTATTTGCACACTAGTAATCGATCCACGACTACGTGTTGATGACACAAAGAAAACAATTCTGTTTGCAGTAGCATCCCAGAGAAAGTGAAAGAGGCTGTCTACAGAAGGCCTCGCAATATAGGGTTCTATTTATGTGAAGTATCCAGAATAGGCAAATCTGCATAGACCATAAAGTAGATCAGCGGTTGCCAAGGGCTACGAGCAGGGAGATATGAGAAGAATATTATTGCTACTGGGCTCAGGTCCCTTTTAGGAGGATGAAAATATGCTAAACTTAGGTCATAGCAACTGTTGCAACAGTCTATGAACACGCTAGAAGCCACTGAATTACACATATTAAAATGGTGATTTCATGTCCTCTGGATTTTATCTTAATAAAACTGTTTTTAGAAATAAGTATTAGGATTCTGGGCTCCTATGTGCCCTGTCTAAGGCTTTCCTGAGCAATCATAATGATTGGCATATCCATCGAATATCTCATTATGTTTCCCTCCCATTCTTTTCTTCTGCTTTCAGATATGATTGGTAGAAACTACAATTGCTTGTGTTGTGGGCATCAACCTCTTTTGTTTCTCCATCATATGTACAGCAGTGGATAAGGGAACAACTGGTAACCTCAAAAGAGGATGTTCAATTTTAGGGAGAGATTTTAATCTGTGGCTGTTATCTTTTGCAGTAACACACACACACACACACACACACGTGTGTGTGTGTGTGTGTGTGTATACACTATAGATAAAACTACCAACACTGGGAAAACTTGAGTTGCTAATTAAAATTTCCAGCCTAGAGGAATCTCTAGTAGAGGTAAAAATACCTTTCCCATGAGACCTGAGGGCCAGGTATGTTTAGTGGGAATTTTAGTGAAGAAAATTTCATTTTAAAACCACTTCATTTGTTCCCCAAGGTTCTAAAAATGTGCTTGGCATATGTGTTACTATGTGGTCACTACCGTATATACTCGTGTATAAGCCACGTTTTTCAGCACATTTTTTATGCAGTTTTGTGGTAAAATTAGGTGCCTCCACTAATATTTGGGTTGGCTTATACTTGAGTATGTATGGTATATACCAAAAAGGAGCTTAGAAAATTGTGGGAAATTTCTACTCTTTCTTTATAATTCCATTTTTCCATGAGCTTTTTGAAGTTCCTTTATATTAATCAAAATAATAACCTTTAAGTTGCTGTCAGATGGAATTGATTCCGACTCATAGAGAGAGAGAGAGAGAGAGAGAGTGTGTGTGTGTGTGTGTCAGAGAGAGAGTGAGAGAACAACAGGAGAGGAGAGAGAGAGAGAAGGGAGCACTACAGACTACAGAGTTTGAACGGCTGTGGCGTTCAGTGGCTTCACCAGGTGTTTTTCTGAAGTGCCTCAGGTGGATGTCACCTGCCAACCTTTTGGATAATAATTGAGTTGCTAACAATCATGCCACTTTGAAACTCCATATGGATGCGTGGGGCTGCAAAGAGGTTGTGGGGAAATTCCACGGCCTTTGCCTTCCATTTCCCTTTGAACTTTTTGAAGCCTTCTTGCATGTATTATGCCTTGTAAGTTACTCTTACAGTCCGCAGACTTGTGATCACTGTCCAGATTCACCCTTCTGCTCGGTAAAATGCTGAGAGCGTGTGTGCGCTGCGCGTGCGGGTATGGATACATTTCCTTACGCAAAACTTGCAGACCGAGTTGAAACCTCCTTCGCCATCTTCCCTGGTCGCCCCTCGCCTTTCCAGTTGTTTGCACTGGAGCGGGGCCACGCCTTCTCCAAAGCTAGGCGATGCTGGGGGCTTTGTCTCAAGCCTGCTGCCAAGGAATGTGTTTATGGTTTCACCTGTAAGGGCAGGGGGCTGGCAGGCCTCCTGAGAACATGGGCTCCTCTCGCGTCCATCTCACCTCCCCCCTTTGCCGCCTCCAGGAAGATCTGCCTGCACTGCAAGTGTCCCCAGGAGGAGCACATGGTGACAGTGATGCCGCTCGAGATGGAGAAGACGGTCAGCAAGCTCATGTTTGACTTCCAGAGGAACTCCACCTCCGACGATGACTCCGGCTGCGCCCTGGAAGAGTATGCCTGGGTCCCGCCGGGACTGAAGCCTGAGCAGGTACTGGTCCTCCGAGCGAGGGTGACCGTGGTTTGGGCTTTTACCTGTGTCTCGTCCTTTCTTCCTCATTCCCGGATAAAGGGCAGAGTTGGCGTGGCTGATTCAGAGAGTGGTCGGGGTCCTCGTGGGGAATGGGGAAGAGAGAGGGGCGTGTTGAGTAGCCGGTTAGCTCATTTACTCAGTTGTGGCCTTTGCTGACTGTTAACGGGAGGCTTCTTTAACAAGGACTCTGACACTTGGAGACCAAGCCTCTCAAAGTGATGATTCTATGAGAGGAAGTGTGGATTGGTTGTCTGCTTCCCAGTGAGATCTGCTGTGTTTAGACATGAAGATGGATCTTGCTTCACGAAGACAGACATTGGCATTGTGTGACACATCTTGGCCCTACCCAGAGGCTGTCAATACGATTGGCTCGATTAGAAGAACTTGGCTTCTGTCTGTTTCACTGCATTTTTATCAGTGACACACAGCCTCTGCTTTGCATTGCTTGATGCTCAGAATGTTTTCTTCGCCCGCCCTCACGTTGGCTTAGCAGCAGCTTCTGGGTATTTTTATAATCTTCCCCAGGAGCCTTTGAGAGATAGCAGAATCTTAAGCTTCTGACCCACGATTGCCTTTCTCTGACACACAAAATTTATTTCACTGGAGATCTCGTCTGTACCTGGCAAGATGTTTTGAAGCTTCCACAGCTGTGGCAGTTTTAGTCAGGAACCTTCAATGTGATCCTGCTGTTACGAAGGAAAGGAATAAATAAATAAATAAATAAATAAATAAAGCTCTGTTTAATTGCATAATTAAGGGAGACCCAAGAATGCAAAGGCATCTTAAAGAGTAGTACCCTGATATTACCTCTTTGATTAGGCTTTCCTCGGGTTCTTCTTCCAGTATGGAGGTTGCACATTGGCAGAGGACATGGGGCACACTGGTTGGATTTGTACAGCCAGCTGAGTTTGTGTCTTTTCTCTTTCTCCTTCCATTTGCATTTCCTGCTGATATTTAAAAAGTAGGCATTTTCAGTGAAAAGTGTGTATTTCTGTCTTTGAAACGTCGAGGGTCTGCAGGCATCGGGATCTCCTTACTACCAGGATAGAATTAGTTGGAGCTGAGGGCTAACCGTTCATTTGAGACAGAATTTGATGCCGGCAAGCCGTCTCTGTCCCCACAGCGTCGTCTCATCCTCTTGTGTCACCTTCACCAGCCCTGTAGGCATTACAGTTCTGTGATCCCTGTTCTGATTCCTACGACAGAGAAAATACCTCAGGATAGAAGCATCCGCACAGGTTCCCCCTGCGAATGGAGGATGGAGTACAGCACTGAGACAGACATTGGGCTATCAGCAGGGGAGTCAAAGAACCTACGTTTTTTAGATTGAGTTGATGGCTTTTCCTGTTCTCTTTTTGGGTTGAAGATAGTGTTATTAAATAATTTGTTTCAGGAAAGGGAGATAAATTTGGCTGAATTTTTGTGGAAACGTACATGAGGTGGTGAGTGATTGAATATCTTTGTTCAGCATTGCCTTTCTGCAGCCAGTACTTGAACAGAGAGTTATTCACACCTACATACATCTGTGAACTTGTTTCATTTTGTGACTAACCTCATTTCCAGCAACATCTTAGAGAAAAAAAACCACCCGTCTTTTGATCACCTGATAGGTATTGCTTCCTGCTATCCTGGGCCCTCGTTTCTCTAAGTCAGGCTGTCTGCAGAACCCAGTGGGTAGAGGCTACTGTATGACCATTAAACAGCATTCCATGATACTCTGATTGACAACCAGTGCTCTACTCTCATGGGCCCAAGAGAACAGAAGCTGAGAGTCTTGGTGTGATTTACCAAATCCAAAAGTGAGAGATTATGGTATGTGGCAGGGGGATCCCTGAGTGACACAAATGTTTAAGTACTTGACTGAAAGGTTAAAGGTTCAAAGCCATCTCGAAGTGCCTTGAAAGAGAGCCCTGGTAATACACCTCCACACAATCAGCCCCTGGCAACCCTCTGAGCACAGCCCCACTGCATGGAGTCAGCATCAACTCAAGAGCAACTGCTTTTGTTTTGTCTTAAATGTTATTTTGGAAGCCATTCACCGTGAATGACTGTGTCAGGCAGGGTAATCTAGAGAAACAAAACCAGGACACGTATGATTATATATGTACATGGATAGGTGTATACAACCAGAAGGAATATAACAGTTAATTAGTCCACATAGCAGTAGAGAGGGCTCACACTCAGTTCAACTCACTTTCGTGGAGCAATTAATATATTTGAAGTTCTTCAACTCATGTGGACTGCCAGGTCTAAAGTCAAGGTAGCAAACAGCAGAGTCCTCCCTGGGGCAAGGCAGGCAGAGTCTGTCCTCAGGCAGCAAACAGCAGGGTGGGTCAGCAACAGTCAGTAGCTTGGGAGCTTAGTGAAACAGGCCCTGGTGGGATATCGAACTCAAGCAATGCAACGCCACAGGGTCCACCAGCCTCAAGCTCAAGCAATAAAGGGCCTCAACCTCTAGCAACATGATTCACGGATTGACTGGGCCCACCGGTGGTGTAGCTCACAAGTGGAAGCCGAGAACTAGCTAAAGCAGCAACATGCTGGTCCAATCACCAGAGAGCAAGAGAGAGGGGCGGCCCTTGCAGAGTCATTTATCTCTTTGCCCTCCAATCAAATTGCGACCTGATTAATCCCACCTATTCCTATTGGCCAGGTTGGCACAATAAACCTAACTATTACAATGACTTTGGGAAGTACAAGCTTGTACTCTCTTTGACTTGCTGTGAGTGACTGATGGTTTTAGCAAAAGTCTTGAATAGCGCTAAAGGAAAATGTATTTTTTATCTCTTAGAATTCTGTTGGTTTTTTCTTTCTTTCTGTGTTTTTTTTTTTTAGTAAAGACAGATTCTTCTCCCTATTCCCTAGCCATACCCAAACCTCTCTGACTCACATAACTAGAAAGGAAAATTGCCCTCCAGAGAGAGACTATCTCTTCAAGTTACTTAAGAGCTCTGTACTTATCTAATAAAATACAAGCTTGTTCTAAAGGTGTTTGAAGGAATCATGGTGTGTTGAAGGAATAGGCTTCAAATTTTCAAATTATAACTTCTCTTAAAGTCTGCTACTTAGGGAATTGGCTGTGTTATTGCTGTTGTAAGGTACTATCAAATTGATTCTGACTCAGAGTGCCCCTGGGTACCACACAGGGTACACTGCCCAGTCCTGTACCATCCTCACAATCATGCCTCTGTTTGAGCCCATTGTTGTAGCCACTGTGTCCATCCATCTCCTTGAAGGAGTCACCCTCGTTGCTCAAATAGAGGGTCTGTGAGATGGTATCTAGCAGCAACAACAAAAGCTATCTAATATCGGTCTATTATTGGAAAAACCCAAGTCCCTCAATGCTTTTTGCTAATAAGACTTCTCATGTTTAATGTCATGTTTGTAGTCTGATTTGAAGAGAGTCATTTTTTTTCCATCAAGAGAAATTATAGGGAATGTTAAAATGCTTTGTGCTAGAGCAAAGTATGAAAGGCTAGTTAGAGTTGAAAGTAATGTCCTTTCATTTTTATTAGAAATCTTTCATTTAACTTTCTGAGATCGTGGAGTTGGTAATATACCTTAAGGTAACCCTCTGCCTTATTCTATTTCTTCTAAGCAATACTTTCAATTTAATATAATGCCTATGGAAGTCACCTCCCATTTAGGGAACTGTTCTTGAATCTGGGCATTTAATTTTATAAGAATCAGCACCCAAACCCAACTTTTAAAAAGCTGTGGGGAAAATAATAACCAGGCGCTGCCAGAAAAGAAAGGCGTTTGTTGTGTTTTCTGACAGGTGCACCTAGAACCAATCAGGAAAGTTCCTCAAGTCTTTGCCTTCACTCACTCCAAATATGGCGTCTAACATATCCCGAAAGCTCTACTGTGCTCCCGACTCACCATGAAAAATCACCTACCAGTCTAGTTTCCATTCAATGCCACAAAGCATTAAAAGCATGTGCCCTGTCTCCTCTAGAGATACTCTGGTGATGAATTTACAGTGGAGGGAAAGCTTCTGGAAGAATCTGGAAAATATTAATAAGCTATAAGACTAGGTGAAATCCATGGTAGCACAATTGCTCAACGTTCGCACAATTGACACGTTTGGGATATCAGTTCTTTGTTGTGGGGGCTCTCTGATGTGCGGGAGGATGTCATATAGCTTCCCTGATCTCTATTGAGTGGTGACAACCAAAAATGTCTCCAGCCATTGCCAGGCGCCCTTGGAAGGGGACACTCTAATTAAGAACCACTGTGTAAAGGTGGTATCTTTACCTCCAAACCCAAAGGATCTTTCAGCACAGTCTGGCCCAGTCAGGAGGAAAAGAGGAGCCCGGTTAGTGGAATGGTAAGTGATCGGCTACGAACCACAAGCTCAGGAATTCTAACCCGTCTGCCGTGTGCTCCTCTAACAAGTGGGGTTGCTGTTAGGGACCCTCGAGATGGTTCTACCTCATGTGGTCCTGAGTCCAACAGACTGAAACATCGCCTGACACTCAGTCTTTTGTTTGAGCTCATGGTTGCAGCCACTACCCGAGCCCATCTCACTGAAAGGCTTCGTCTTTCTCACTGATGTCCGTCTCCAGGGACTGGTCCTTGCTAGTGACATGTCCAAACTATACTTCTAAGGAACATTCTACTGTACATCTTCCCACACAGATCTGTCTGTTGTATTGGCAATGCATGGTACAGTCCATGTTCTTCCCCAACTCTATAATTCAAAAGCATCAGCACTTCTTTGATCTTCCTTATGCATTGTCCAGCTTTCGAATGACAATACCATGGCTTGGATCAGAGACACCTTAGACTTCAAAGGGACATCTTTGTTGTTCATTTGCATGTTACAAGTTGTTAAAGAGTCTTCCTCTAATCCCGATGCCACCTGCTTCTTCATATAGTCCAGCTGCTTGGATCATTTTTTCAGCGTACAGATTACGTAAGCATGGTGAGAGGGTAGAACCTCGACATCGCCTTTC